GACACTGATACTATACACAGGTAAGACGGGGAACTAGGGATCGAGCCCTGGGATCTGCATTCGCTACTGCAAACTGGTGAATACCGTTTCACTCCCGCCGGCCTAAATTCGAGGTCCTCCGAGAAAATTTCAGTCCAAGGCAGGACCTTTACCCCTCTGCTGTCTCTCGTAGGCTCGGACTATATCGGGAGATGTTTCTAGAAGTTCAGATCTTGTAAACCAGCGGTCGTCTTCCGGTTCTTGATAGCTAAAATGAACCTTATACTGTTTCTATGGACGACCCCTACCTCCAGTTCTGAATACGTCTTCAGCCACTATGCCATCGATGTCATACTTTCCATCCATATCAGGTGGAATCATAGATCTACGGGATGGAAACTGATCACTTGTCTGACAAGGTAGTAACTTCGATGCGTGGAAAACTGGGTAAGTGTGGAGGTATGCTGGTAACTCTATGGTGTAGGACGGTCCATCTTCGCCGCCCTTGACTTCCAGAACAGGCCACGGCCCTCTATATGTGGGCAGTAACTTCTGCGAGATGTTCTCCTCAGGTGCAAATTCTCTAGAACTAACCCAGACTAAGTCGCCTTCCTGAAACTGTGAAGGGTGACGGTGTTTGTTCGCTTGCTCTATCATCCTATGCTGGGCTTTCCTGAGGTTCTCGACAACAGTAGCTAGTTCTTTCTCGTGCTGTACGGCAAACTCCCTGGTCCCGGGCGGCAATCTATGAATCTGATCCCGGTTGAGCCCCTCAAACGGTCTGCGTGGTCTACAGGACTTGTGCAGTTCGTTGGGAGTGCGGCATGTAGACAAATGCACGCTGTTATTGTACGCACTAGCTACTTTGGGCAACATCTCATCCCAGTTAATCTGATCCGGCCTAATATACATGCGCAGAACTTGCTGTAGGATCTTGTTCATTTGCTCTGTCTGACCGTTAGTCTCTGGATGACGGCCGGACGACATCAATAACTTAGACCCATATACTCCCATGAGTTCTTGCCAGTTCTGGCTGGTGAAGCGACTATCTCTATCGCTAACTATTGACAACGGGATTCCATTCTCACTAACCCAACAGTCAAAGAATCTCTGTATGACTAAATCAGTACGTGCCTCTGAAGGCAAAGGAACAAAAACTACGTATTTACTAAATCGGTCAACTATGACCATGACTTGGCTCTTGCCATGCCTGCTCTTGACTTGAGTGTCCATGAAGTCGATGGACACTGAGTCCCCCGGCTGGTCCGGAATGGGCAAGGGTCTAAGAAGACCTAGCGGGGCGCGCGTAGAACTCTTGTTGCCCTGGCAAACCTTACAACTGCGAACATACTCTACGCAGTCATTCTTCATCCCTGGCCAGGTATATGCTCGCATTAGGTTGGCTAAAGTCTTCTGCCAACCAAAATGACCCTCTGTGTCGTGGCATTCTCCCAAGATCAGACTACGGATCTCTTCGCTATTGGGAATGCACAACCGGTCAAAGACATTAGTCTTCTCAAATAGTAACCCTTCGGTAGTGCGGCAGTTCGGCTCAGTCTCTAGGGCCTCTTTCACTTTCGTAAGGAGGTTACTATAGATAGTATCCTACGCGTACGCTTCTTTAACCCTCTGCTGTAGGTCCTTCCCTATATCAAGATAATGCACTATCGCCCCAAAGTAATCAGCCCTTCTACTCAGAGCATCCGCGACTACGTTGTACTTCCCTTTGACAGGCTTGAGCTCGAAGTCGTACTGATCTATCTCTGCGGCCCACCTAGTAAGCTTAGGTGTCATCTTGGCCTGCGTCTTTAACCATCGTAACGTTTCATGGTCAGAATAGACTTTGAAGTGCCTCCCAAGCAAGTAGTGCTTCCAGTGGTCTAASGCTTGCCTGAGAGCGTAGAGTTCCCTCTCATAGGTCGATGTCGCGACCTTCTCTGAAGGCATTCTGGCGGATATGAACTCTACGGGTCTATACCCATTGCCATCATCTTGCTGTAATACTGCACCTATGCCGTATTGACTCGCATCGGTCATGGCGACAAAGGGCAAGGACGGGTCGGCGACCTTAAGGACTGGATACTCTATCAACGCCTGCTTTAACTTCTTCATGGCAGACATGCAGTCCTTATCCCACTTCCAGATGGTCTCTTTTCTCAACAATCTGCGAAGGGGCGCAGCGATGGTGGAGAAGTTCCTCACGAACTTCCTATAGTAATTCGCCAAGCCCAGGAACGAGCGCAACTCTGTCAGCGTACGTGGCGTGGGCCAATCTCTAATCGTTGTGATCTTGCTATCCTCTGGCTTAACGCCGTCTCCGTCTAAGACGTGGCCTAAATACAAAACTTGGGTCTTCGCCCAATCGCACTTCTTTGCATTGATCTTGAAGTTAGCTTCCCTCAGCTTCTCCAAGACCTGCCTGAGATTACCCTGATGCTCTTCGAGGGTCCGGCTAAACACTAAGATGTCATCTAAGTAAACTACAACAAATCTGTCTAACCACGGCCTAAACAAATCGTTCATACAGCGCTGGAACGTGGCTGGCGCGTTGGTTAGTCCAAAGAGCATCACTATGAACTCGTAGTGCCCATATGTAGTCCGGAAGGCTATCTTATACTGATCATCAGGATGCACCTCTATCTGATGATATCCGGACTTCAAATCTATCTTAGAAAAATACTTCGCCCCTTGCACTCGATCTAAGAGATCGTCTATCCTAGGCAGTGGCTCAGCATTCTTTACTGTAATAGCATTCAGACCCCTATAGTCTATGCACATCCTCAGCTCTCCCTCTTTCTTAGGGACAAAGAGAACAGGCGCTCCAAACGGAGACGAACTGGGCCTAATCCAACCCTTTTCCATGAGCTCGTCCAACTGCTTCCGTAGCTCCTCTAACTCCCGCGGGGACATCCTATACACAGCACCCTTAGGAGTTCTACTGACAGGCTCTATCTCAATACGGTGCTGGATGGGCCGCGGCACCGTGCCTGTCGGCGGCTCAGTCAAATCCTTAAACTCTTCCAGCAATTTGGCAATAGCAGGGTCTACGGGCTTCTCTTCCTTAGGCTCAGTGACTGGCCTAACATAGGCAACAAAGACCTGTTCCTCTAATTTCTCCTTCTTCACCAATCTGGCGAACGCAGGGGTACTAAGGCAGCAATGCGCCAAGGAATTTTCTACCCCGGACACATGGAACAGGCGGGCAGTCTGAGCCTCGCCTGCCGAACTAGGGAGCCTACACTCGTGCTCTTTCAGATGGAGCGTGGCCCCGGCTGCCTCTCCCCAATCCATTCCCAGGACAATATCAAATGGGAGGCTGTCTTCTACGAGGAGAGTCAGGGAGTGGAGGACCTTCTCCACTTTCCCATCCTTCTCTAGGCGAAAATATGCCTGGACTCCCTTTACATACTCCTCTACAACCATTGTACGGTTGTCCGCGAGGATACTAACTATGGGGTCTGTCAGTTTCTGTACTTTAAGTCCCAGCCTCAACTTCTGCAGCGCTTTCTTACTAATATAGCTGCGGGTGGCCCCTGAGTCTACTAGGGCCCCTATTCTACTTCTAAAAATCTCGGCATCTAATAAAATCAGCTGCCCTTTATTCTCCTTCTTCATCTTGGCCCAGGCGGGCCTCCTCTCCTTCAACTCTTCGGCCACGCCTGTGAGGGAGATGTCTAGAGAGACTCTAACACAAGCAGTCTCTGGGCAGCTATCTAGACACCGGCCTGCAACCTCTGCCATAGGCACATGTGGTGTGGGAGACTCCTGTCGGCCAGCGCTATATTTCCCACATGGCCTAGTGGTAGGGGCAGTTGCTACCCCTACCGGCGGCTGCCTTTTGGCCCTTGGGCAGCCGTTCGGGTCTCGCGATACTTAGGACAGTATTTGATGATATGGCCCGGGTCACCGCAGAAAATGCACTGGCCTTGGTCCAATCGTTGTTGCCATAAAGTCTGGTCCAGACCCAAAGATTCCCAAGGCCTACCCTGCGGTAGCCCTGGGTGCCATCCTCCTACCCTATAGGGAGACCTATTCCTAGGACGGTTTTGCGGGGGACCTTGACCCCTGCCTCCCACTTAGCGGTTTCCTCCTCTGCCGCCAACCCCCTGATCGCCCTGAAACCGGCTCCCTGAGGCCCGGCCCCCCTGGCCCTGGCCTCGTCCTCCTTGCGGCCTCCTCCAGTCGCGACAGCAGCGTAAGTCCTCCCCTGGCTCGCACCACTGTCCTCCTCCTCTAACCCCCACTCAATCTGATCGTAGGGGATCTCGTCCACACTACCCTCATCTAAGGTCAGGACAAGGCTATCCTTGGTCTTTACCTGCCCTGAGATAGTGCGGTCTTTCCATTGCTTCCCTCTGTCTAAGTCCTTGTGCCAGAAGGTAGACAGGGACACGGACTTCGCTTCAAAAGCCACCACCTCACGACTAAGGGAATCGTAAGTGGTGGCAGGGTCTTCGCTGTTCGCGAGGAACTGACCTCGAAAGGCTTCGGGCATAGCCCGGAAAAAGAGGTTGACCAACTGGCCCTCTGTGACCCCATGGTCAGGGACGACTACCAACTCATCCATTGTACCCTTGAGTGCCCTGGCACTCTTCCATTTACGAGAATGGATGGTKTGGAGCTTGTCTGAGGCCTTGACGCTACGGGCGACATCAGCAAATCGCTCACGCAGCAATTTCAGGAATTCGGTGAGGGACGTAAACGAGGAGTACGCAACGGGGTCGTCACTACAGTTGGCAGCGCAAACCAGGGACCTTGCAAAACTGGCGGCCTCATCTCTCAGCGCATGGATCGCAATCAGGACCTGCTGATCCTCGGAGACCTGTTGCAAGTGCACATAGGTCTTAACATTAGCTTCCCAGTTGTCAAAGTTCTCTTCCCTTTTTCCACTGTAGGAATCAGGGAATTTGACCTTGACTGGTTCCTGGCGGGGAGGACGTGCTTCCTCCTCCTTGGGGGCTGCCGCCTTGATGCCCTCAATGGCGCCAACACAGAACCGCTCGGTCTTGTCGAGGTGGTGACCCACCTTACAGTGCCTACCAGCTCGCGCGCAAATTCCCGGAACCCCAACTTTATTGAACGCACAGCTATATGCTGACTCCTACTGAAGTCATATTGCTCCGCCTGAATTCGTGCCAGGCGTGCAACATTTCGAGCTATGACTCGCATTTGAGCCGGGAGTTCAGTTTGGGCGGCTAGTTGCTCCTCATCTTTTTTACCTCCTCTAATTCTTCTACCGCCTCCGCTGCCGCGTCCACTCTCCTCTTCTTCTCCCGGGTGAGCAGTTGCGGATACGGTTCCCATCTTGCCCTAAAGCCTTTCGCCTTGTTTCCTCTGTGCGCATGCATCGATGCAGGTCTGCCTTGCATTTTTTTTTCTTTTTTAATTTTAAAACGCCCAGGTTGTTGTAGAGGCAGGGTATCAGACGCGGGAATACTCCCTGGGGTTCAGTCACTCGAAGTTCAGAATGACCCACTTGGCCCTCTGGACCTTCCTAGATGGAGTCCTCTACGGGCTTAGAGCCCTAAGTCCTACCGCAAGCCGTGTCCCTTCCCGCACCATATATCTTGCCACCAGAGATCAGACTCTGTCCCTACAGATCCAACCTCCAACTGGATGCATTGCGGGCCCACTCTAAGCAGCTTTGTCCCCCAACCATTGACTTAGCAGATCCCTAACCGATTCCCCCTCGGACCGGCGTGGAGGGCCTACCTCCCTCCTACTAATGTACAGTACAATCTATCCTACCCATGTTCAGTACAAGTCCTACCCGAGCTACACTTTATCGGCATCCTCTCTACTAGTCCCTTCAGCCCCTATACCCATCTCATAGCCTACCCTTGCTTGGTCCCTGGTGGGCCCGAGGACCCTGATGACGGGGCTATGAGAGTACCCCAATGTCTATACACTGCCTAGAGACGACCAGCCAGCCAGGTGGTCCTAATCCATGAGACAAGCATCGGCTCGCACCTGCTGGTCATCAGGCAGACTCTCGAACGGTAGTATTTCTACCTACGATGCGTTTTCCCACCCACCCATGCGGTCTCCGCAGGTGGCCTATGAGGCCACTTTGTATGTGAGTCAACTACTCCCCTCGAACGGTGAACTACCCATTAAGCAACCCGAACCATTCAGCCCTACCTACCACAAGGTTCCTGTACCCCTCTCCCCACACACACCCCAGAGATGAGACAGCCGTTTTACCCCCGTGGTTTGAGACACACTTGAGGGGGAACACGCCTAGACATACTACCCACTGTGCCACTCCCCTCCACTTTGAAGGTCCCTCTCTAACCGGGAAACCCCACGGTACCCAGATGTCTAGATAGAGACGTCCCTAGGGAGAGACAGGGAGTAGCAGACCTAGGGTTCTCTGGGCCCGCGTACTATACTATAGTCAAGTGCTTACTATGTGCGAGGTTCGAGCAGGGTTCGAATGGGGGTTCTTCAATGCTCATTCAATACCATGTACGATGCTACTATGAGCAGTCCTTTCAATTCTAGCAGGGTCCGTCTATAGGTGCGACCATATCTGCAACTAGATACCACGGTAAGAACTTCCACAGACAAGATAGCCCTTGTGTATCACCCAAAGTGATCAACTAAATCCTGAATGCAACACACCCCTAAGTTACAGGGAAACCCCCCCGGCATCAGCTACGTCGGACAAACTGGTTATGCCTTCCTCCCTCGACATAACTCCATAGAGCTTTTGCTCCCTTAGGTTACAGAGCAAAAGCTCCAGCACCGGTCTGCATCGCCCCAACTTTGTCCTTCTGACCTACTTACTTAGATAGACGTCCCTTCCCATGTCGACCCCCCTTGCTTCCGCCCATCTTCCAGCTCTCACCTCCTCCTTCCCCCCCTGTCATTCTATCCACAATCTCCCTTATCATAGGCAGATCACTGCATAGTCACTCTATGAGATACCGGGACCATTACCCGGCAAGACAGGAAAGCGAAATCCCCCACGATCCATCTCCTTCCCCGCACTGCAGAGGAGAGACTACTGCCCAGGTAATCAGTCCTCGTACCAGAACTCGCTAGATCTCATACCCCCCTTGCTAAGGTGACAGGACAACACCAACTGCCCCAGTACCGACCGAACTAGTTCTGACGGACAGGAAGTGTCTTCCTCCCTCGACAACTTCCTTAGCTGCACAACCCCCAAAGTTACAGGGTCACTGCCCCGGCCTCAACTACGTTGTACAAGATGGTTATGCCTTCCACCCTCGGCATAGCTCCAATAGTCTCAAGCTCCCCTGGTTACAGAGCAACTGCTCCAGCACCGACCATTGTCACCCCACCACGCCCTTCTAATAGACCTACCACCCTGAACACCAATCCGTCCTCCGCCCAAGCACCACCCTGCTAAAACCAACCTTCCCCTTCCTGCTTACCGAATAACTTTTTAAGAGTTTTAAGAAATTTTCGAAAACTCAGGAACATCAGACACCAACCTGAAAAAAATAGAGAAACTTCACCTGTATCCAAAAAGAGGACAGGAGGGGGGAAAACAACCTCTCTTCAGATGCAGATTCTAACGTTCACCAGGGACTCCACAACACATAATAAACTCATTGTGTGACCATCGAAGTTACTCCCTTCCCTCAAAAAGCAAACCCCATGTTCCTACACTGCCCCCACCGGGAGGCGCCCCCTCTCCTCTCGGCCCCAGTTCGGAACAGCCTATAAACGGACACTTCAACCCCCTAAAAGGCATACAATTCCCCCTAGAGCATACCTCACAGGCTGAAGTTCCCCTTTTCCTTCTGCCCCACCCCCTCCAGGCAAGGCAGCCCTCTCTACCTCTCATCCTGCTGTAAACAGCTTCACCCCCCAATACCCCCAATACCCCC